CCTTTTTGAGGAGTATTCCCCGTTCCGCGCAGAATCGTGCCAACTTGTCGGACTGTATTCACCCCCATTGTCGCTTTGAAGGTACTTCACGCGCTTTCGGTTTGCGTTTCGGCCATCGCAGCGTATTCCATGAACTTCGCCGCAACTTCAGATTTGCTCTTGAGCAGATAGACGACACAGTATCTTGACTTGTCATCAATGAATGTCACGAAGTACCGTTTTCCACTGAAAGTTGCCATCGACATCGGTCCGCATACGTCGCTGTGAATCACTTCGAGGAGTTTGGAGGTGCGAGCTGTAGTGTTTGATTGGAAGCGCACTCGAGTCTGTTTTCCCAGAGCACAACCTTCACACACGTCCCACTTCTTCACCGAAGATATGTCGATGCCAATTCCAATGTTCTTCGTCACGATGCAATTGAGTCCATCGTGACCTATGTGGCCAAGCCGAAGGTGCCAGAGGTACGACTTGGTGCCCCTTGACATCCCGACGACTTGGCTGCATTTGCTTGTTCCGGCGCCACTGGAGTCATTTGCAGCTTGAACAGTCCTTTACCTTCACGGGCACCAATTTTCCACTTGGTCCCTTTCGCTTCTCCATAGCACCCATCCTTCGTGAACGTCACTGGGCCGACATCCTTGGTGAAGCGGCCGACCGAGAACAGGTTTCTGGATAACTTTGGGATGTGCCACACGTTTGTGAGCACACCTTTCTTCATCCCTTGGGGTGTCTTCATCGACATGACAATGTCCCCACTGCCGATTGCTTGGACGATTCCGTCATCCGCGAGATGGACATCCACAGCGTCAAACCCCTTGTAGTTCCGCATGAACTTCTTGGAGCACGTCATGTGCTGCGTCGCCCCGGAGTCGACCAGCCAGATGTCGCTCGATTTCGCAGATGTCGTTTCACCGATCGAAAAGAGGTAGTCGCCCGAGTCTTCTTCTTGAGCGACGTTTGCACGTTGTGATCGATAGCGGTCGCCGCTGTCTTGAGCACGCTGTGGCCGGTGTCTCTCCGTGTTTTCTTGGATGCGCGAGGGGCACTCCGCCATCCAGTGACCAATCTTTCCGCAATTGTGGCACGGCCAGGACTTCTTCACTGGTCGCCCTTTGCGCTGATTGTCCCTTGTGATGAACGCTTGACCTTGCGAAGCTTCATCACCTTTACTTCCTTGCTCCTTCCGCTTCATTTCTTCATGAAGCAGTCGAGACGTCACGAGCTCCCAGCTAAGAATGTCTGAGCGCGACTCCAAAGCTGTGATCAAGAATTGATACGAGTCACTCAGGCTGCCGAGGAGTGTGATCACCAGATCGTCCTCGCAGACTGGAGCCCCCACCGCTTCTAGCTGTTCCGCCAGCGTCTTGAGCTTGTTGATGTGTTCGAGCACATCGTCGCCTTCTTCCATCATTGTCGTGAAGAAGCGACGGCGCAAGAACAGCTTGTTGGCAAGACTCTTCTTCTCGAAGTGGTCTTCCAACCTTGACCATGCGTCGCATGCACCACTTGCCGACCGGACCAACGGTAGCTGGGAATCTTCCATGGCTAGACAGATCACTGCCATCGCCTTTCTTGACTTCCTCTTGTACGTCGCTTGGTCCAACTGAGTCTCGCACTGTTCCGCCTTGATCTCACCGCTGACGACCTCCCATAGGTCCCGTTCCTCCAGCACCATCTGCATCTTGAACTTCCAGGCGTGGAAGTTAGTTCCATCGAACTTGGAGATGCGGAGGGAGGAGGCGTCCATGGCAGCTAAGCTTGAATTGTTGGCGGTTTCAGAGTCTGACGAACTTGGGCTCATAACCTGATGAACTTTAGACTTCTTGGTCCGAGTGCAAAACGCAAAGTGAATATATATTTATAATAGGTACTTAGTTCGCAACTTTGAATACTACCTCTAAGCCTATTATTCGCAGTGACGTCATCCAGTGACGTCACCCACTGACGTCACCCACTGACGTCATGCAATGACGTCATCCAGTGACGTCATTTCCTGACTTCGCCCTTACTGGTACATACCGGTACCCACCGGTATAGCGAAGCTTGGTCTTCCACTTGCTTCAACACTTGACGCAGCTTGACGAGGTGTCTTCTTCACAGCCGCTGTCTTTTCAACAACATGAGCGCGGACTATCATCACGTGGTTGATGACTGCGACGAGGCATGGGTTGCGTGGACACGGTTGAAGACTCTCTACGGCGGATCGCAGAAGGCGGGACGGATCTTCTTGAAGCGGCAGCTGTTCAGCATGGAGATGGCGGAAGGCGGCAATGTGATGCATCATTGCAATGAAGTTCTCAACATCAGCGCCAAGCTCAGCAGCATCGGCGCCAAGATGGAGGATGAGGACGTGGCGATCTGCTTGTTGTGCAGCCTCCCAAGAGCTACGAGAACGTCGTGCTGAACTTGGAGATGAGCAGCGCGGAACTGCGGACGCAAGACGTCGTGAAAGTGCTGACGAATGAGCACATCAAGAGACAAGGGAAAAAGACGACATCGGTGAAAAACTGAAGAAGCGACCAAGGCCTTCAGTACCGAGCGTGAGGTTCGTCAGTGTACGTTCTGCGGAAAATTGGGGCACACGGTGGAAAAGTGCTGGACCAAGCAGAAGGAAGACAATCGGGGAGCTCGACGCGGCGGCAATGCACGTGGACGCGGAGCGAATCAAGTTCAGTGGCAAGGCTACAACGGCAACAGCAACTGTGACTATGATCGAGTGGCGTTTGCTGTTTCGCTGAAATGCGAACTTTCAACGACCAAGAGCATGTCTGGAATGTTATTGTGGGTTGACGGTTGAGGTACTGCTATCAGCTACCATGGGAACCGTAAACCTGTCCAAGTCGATCCCGCGTAATTACGGTGAGTTTTTACCAATGATTAGACGCATAGGATGATTGGATGACCTACATGATTTATGATTCATGATTTATATGTGGACAACATATAAATCAGTGCAGAGATAGATCAGGTAGCTTTAACAAAACCCACAAATAAATTCACTTCCAAATATTCCTTCTTCAGCACAAGTCGTATACACTTCGCAGTGCAGACTTCCTTCAGCGTTCTTCAAGCTTCGTTCTCTCGTCCAGTGCTCTTCAGAAATTAACAGTGTACATGTAAATTATGTGAAGCTTCTCGTCATCTTACTCGTCTGACCAACTATGGATAATTATCGTAAGAACTACGTCGTAAATAATAAGCTGAGCAGGTGGTTCGGATTGAACCGGTCACGGTTACCAATACTGGTAGAAAACCGATGACCGTCAACACGCCCCTCAATCCGAACGCGGACAGATGCCTAGCGCCGCCGTTAATTCCATGTGGCGCGGTCGGTGAAGTCCCTTGGTCATAATGTCGGCCATCATCACCGTCGTTTTGCAGTATTTAAGCTTCACTTCACCGCGAGTGTGGTGGTACTTGATATCAATGTGTATGACGCGGCCGTGATTGACTGGATTCTAGGTCATTTGATGCAAGGCTATTCGTCTTCACGGATCATGAGCTCGGGTCTGTCCTCGTTAGTAGCCGCCATGATCTCGCATAGTAAGCAGTGGATCCACTTGCCTTCTTGAATCGCCAGACTCAAGCGCAATGTACTCCGCTTCAATTGCAGACAGTGACACACTTGGCTGCTTCTTGCTGGACCAACTCACTGGAGCACCCAATAGTATGAAGACGTAGCCAGACGTTGACTTGTGATCAGAAAGGTCGGCGGCCCAGTCTGCGTCCGAATAGCCACGAAAGTCGATCTTCACACTTGGCTTGTAGCAAATTCCATGCATCTTGGCGCCTTGTAGGTATCAAATAATGAGCTTGACCGCAACCCATTATTCGTCTTGGGGATTCTCCAGGTATCGAAAGTAGCGCTTAACGACCGCAACCCCAGTGTTCTTCTTGGGGATTTTCCCGTAGAAGCGCGACACAAAGCCTTACAGCATAGGCGATGTCCGGTCTTGTTGTAGTCGTCAGATGCATCAAAGCACCAACTGCTTCACGGAACGGAACATCGATCTTGCTCGCACTGTTGCTTGACATCAGTCGAGGCTGACATCCACAGGACTCGCCACAGCCTTGCACTCCTCCATTCCAAAGCACTTGAGGATATCATTGACATAACGGCGCTGACACATAGACACACTGCCGTCTTCACCGTCAGAATCTCAATTCCAAGAGCAAATGCACACTTGCCGCTATCAGTCATCTCGAAACGTGTCTTCAGGTCGTTCTTGGTTCGTGCAATCAGCTCAAGCGAGCTTCCAGTCATTAAAACGTCGTCCACGTAGACCAGTACAAACACGATGGCCAACCGAAGTATTGATGTAGAGACATGGGTCGAAGCCTGACACTTGAAATCCAATGGAGTACACAAACTCGTCGAATGTCGCATTCCACACTCGCGACGCTTGCTTGAGGCCGCACAGTGACTTCACCAATTCCAGGCAGTCGAACTTACTATCAAGCTCAACGCCTTCAGGAATCACACAGAGCACTTGTTCCTTCATGAAGCTATACAGGAAAGCCGTCACCACATCGTGCTGGTCGATGAGCCATCCAAAGTGCTTGGAAATTGCGATCACCATTCGCAGTGTCACCATGTTTGACCACGAGCGAAAATGTCTCCGTGTAGTCGATGCCATACTTTTGGCGAAAGCCCTTATTGTGGGTTGACGGTTGAGGTACTGTTATCAGCTACCATGGGAACCGTAAACCTGTCCAAGTCGATCCCCGCGTAATATCGGTGAGTTTTTACCAATGATTAGACGCATAGGATGAGGATTGGATGACCTACATGATTTATGATTCATGATTTATATGTGGACAACATATAAATCAGTGCAGAGATAGATCAGGTAGCTTTCTTTAACAAAACCCACAAATAAATTCACTTCCAAACATTCCTTCTTCAGCACAAAAGTCGTCTACACTTCACAGTGCAGACTTCTTCAGCGTTTTTCAAGCTTCGTTCTCTCGTCAGTGCTCTTCCAGACTTTAACAGGTTATGAGCCCAAGCACGATGTCCTCTGCTCAAGATTCCGCCACCAAGATCTCTATCGATAGATTCGATGGAACAACTACGCACTGACGTGGAGCCGCTACATGCGTGGCGTGTTCCTGACCAAGTCGACGTGGCACGTGGTTCAACCGGAGACCGCCACCTTCGCCGATCCTCGCGCCAGTGATGAGTACGTCGAGACGACAACATTGCGTTCGGCTTGATGTTACTTCACATGAGCGCGGACTATCATCACGTGGTTGATGACTGCGACCCAGGCATGGGTTGCGTGGACACGGTTGAAGACTCTACGGCCGGATGCAGAGGCGGGACAGGATCTTCTTGAAGCGGCAGCTGTTCAGCGTGGAATGGCGGAAGGCGGCAATGTGATGCATCATTGCAATGAAGTTCTCAACATCAGCGCCAAGCTCAGCAGCATCGGCATAAGATGGAGGATGAGGACGTGGCGATCTGCTTGTTGTGCAGCCTCCCCAAGAGCTACGAGAACGTCGTGCTGAACTTGGAGATGAGCAGCGCGAACTGCGGACGCAAGACGTCGTGAAAGTGCTGACAGGCCGCAGGCACATCAAGAGACAAGGAAAAAAGACGACATCGGTGAAAAAGAAGCGAAGAAGCGACCAAGGCCTTCAGTACCGAGCGTGAGGTTCGTCAGTGTACGTTCTGCGGAAAATTGGGGCACACGGTGGAAAAGTGCTTTCGGACCTGTGAAAGACAGCGGCTGTGAAGAAGACACCTCGTCAAGCTGCGTCAAGTGTTGAAACAAGTGGAAGACCAAGCTTCGCTATACCGGTGGGTACCGGTACTATACCAGTAAGGGCGAAGTCAGGAAATAACTTCACTGGATGACATCATTGCATCGACGTCAGTGGGTGACGTCAGTGGGTGACGTCACTGGATGACGCTCACTGCGAATAATAGGCTTAGAGAGGTAGTATTCAAAGTTGCCGAACTAAGTACGCTATTATAAATGTATGTTCACTTTGCGTTTTGCACTCGGACCAAGAAGTCTAAGGAGTTCATCAGGTTACTGAGCCCCAAGTTCGTCAGACTCTGGAAACCGCCAACAATTCAAGCTTAGCTTCCATGGACGCCCTCCTCCCTCCCGCATCTCCAAGTTCGATGGAACTAACTTCCACGCCTGGAAGTTCAAGATGCAAGATGGTGCTGGAGGAACCGGACCTATGGGAGGTCGTCAGCGGTGAGATCAAGGCGGAACAGTGCGGGAGCTCGGGTGGACCAAGCGACGGACAAGAGGAAGTCAAGAAAGGCGATGGCAGTGATCTGTCTAGCCATGGAAGATTCCCAACTACCGGTTGGTCCGGTCGGCAAGTGGTGCATGCGACGCATGGTCAAGGTTGAGGAAGACCACTTCGAGAAGAAGAGTCTTGCCAACAAGCTGTTCTTGCGCCGTCGCTTCTTCACGACAATGACGGAAGAAGGCGACGATGTGCTCGAGGGCACATCAACAAGCTCAAGACGCTGGCGGAACAGCTAGAAGCGGTGGGGGCTCCAGTCTGCGAGGACGGTCTGGTGATCACACTCCTCGGCAGCCTGGTGACTCGTATAATTCTTGGTCACAGCTTTGGAGTCGCGCTCAGACACTCTTGGCTGGGAGCTCGTGACGTCTCAACTGCTTCATGAAGAAATGAAGCGGAAGGAGCAAGGAAGTAAAGGTGATGAAGCTTCACGCAGGTCAAGCGTTCATCACAAGGGACAATCAGCGCAAGGGCGACCAGTGAAGAAGTCCTGGCCGTGCCACAATTGCGGAAAGATTGGTCACTGGATGGCGGAGTACCCCTCGCGCATCCAGAAAACACGGAGAGACACCGGCCACAGCGTGCTCAAGACAGCGGCGACCGCTATCGATCACAACGTGCAAAACGCCGTCAAGAAGAAGACTCGGGGGACTACCTCTTTTCGATCGGTGAAACGACATCTGCGAAATCGAGCGACATCTGGCTGGTCGACTCAGGGGGACGCACATGACGTGCTCCAAGAAGTTCATGCGGAACAACAGGGCGCGGTTGACGCTGTGGATATCCATCTCGCGGATGATGGAATCGTCCGGGCAATCGGCGTGGGGACATTGTCATGTCGATGGAAGACACCCCAAGGGGGATGAAGAAAGGTGTGCTCACAAACGTGTGGCACATCCCAAAGTTATCCAGAAACCTGTTCTCGGTCGGCCGCTTCACCAAGGATGTCGGCCCAGTGGACGTTCACGAAGGATGGGTGCTATGGAAAAGCGAAAAGGACCAAGTGGAAAATTGATGCCCGTGGAAGGTAAAGGACTGTTCAAGCTGCAAATGACTCCAGTGGCGCCAGGTTAAGCAAATGCAGCCAAGTCGTCAGGGATGTCAAGGGGCACCAAGTCGTACCTCTGGCACCTTCGGCTTGGCCACATAGGTGCGATGGACTCAGTGCATCGTGACGAAAACGTTGGAATTGGCATCGACATATCTTCGGTGAAGAAGTGGGACGTGTGTGAAGGTTGTGCTCTGGGAAAACAGACTCCGGGTGCGCTTCCAATCAAACACTACAGCTCGCACCTCAAACTCCTCGAAGTGATTCACAGCGACGTATGCGGACCGATGTCGATGGCAACTTTCAGTGGAAAACGGTACTTCATGACATTCATTGATGACAAGTCAAGATACTGTGTCGTCTATCTGCTCAAGAGCAAATCTGAAGTTGCGGCGAAGTTCATGGAATACGCTGCGATGGCCGAAACGCAAACCGGAAGAGCGTGAAGTACCTTCAAAGCGACAATGGGGAGTGAATACAAGTCCGACAAGCTGGCACGATTCTGCGCGGAACGGGAATACAACAAGGTTCACACCCCCATATACTCCTCAGCTAAACGAAGTAGCTGAGAGAGAATGAATCGCACGCTGGTCGAGTGTGCGCGTTGCATGATGGAACACGCTGGACTGGGAAAGAGCTGCTGGGGTGAAGCAGTGATGACGGCGATGTTTCTTCGAAACCGCTGTCAACACGTGCCATTCACCAAGACAAGTCTCCATATCAAGTGTGGACGATGAAGAAACCGATTCTGGCCAACCTTAAAGTGTTTGGATGCCACGCGTATGTTCAAGTGCCTCAAGACAAACGCTGCCCAGTTCGACTCCAAGTCATCACTCTGTCGTTTCCTGGGATACGCCGAACACCAGGATCTTATCGATTTGAGGAAGTGTCAGCAGGAGCGATCAATATCAGTCGCGATGCCACATTCATGGAAGAACCCAAGTTTGATGAAGGTCCGCGCAACTACAACGATGAGTCAAGTGTCGTTGAGTTTGATGATCATGATGGAGGACGAAGAAGAAAAGAGAGTAAAACTGACGACGACATGGACTCGAGCGACGATGACAACGAAGACACCAGGTCGCTGAAGAGCAACATCCAAGAGACACACGCACTCAATCGCCCGAGAAAGCTACCGTCATTGAAGTCCCAAGCAGAAGAACATACAGAGAGGTCCGTCGCTTGAGCGTAATGTCAGCGGCTGCAATGGATTTGGAAACGGCCACCATCGTTGATTCAGTGGGGAAACGCCAACTACATTCAAGTCGGCGATGGAATCAGCGACTCCGGCAAGTGGAAAGAAGCGTGTGACTCGGAGTTCGACTCGCTTCAGAGAAACGACACGTGAGATCGTGCCTCTTCCGAAAGGTCGCAAGGCCATCGGGTGCCGACCAGGTTTTTCGTGAAGGAGAATCAAGATGGCGAAGTTGAACGTTTCAAGGCAGACTTGTGGCCGGGTTCTCACAGAAATTCGGAGTTGACTATGAAGAAACTTTCGCACCGGTGGCCAAGTTCACATCGATTCGTGTGGTGCTCAGTATGGCGGCTAAGTACGGCCTAATGCGCATCAGATGGACGTCAAGACAGCGTTTCTTAACGGCTCCTCAACGAGGAACATCTACGCCGGACCAGCCGGACCGGATACCTGGATGCAACACAGCCGGACTATGTGTGCAAGCCTAAAGAGATCACTCTACGGCTTGAAGCAATCCCCGCCTCGCATGCAGAACCAAACAATCGATGGGTTCATGATCAGATGGGATTCAAGAAGTGCGAATCGGACCACTGCATCTACATCAAGCGAGACGACCAAGACGCTGATTCTCGTAATTACTCTGCATCCGATGATCTCATCCTGGCCAGCAGCAACAACGAACTCCTCAAGTCAACCAAGATGGCGCTGAGCGACGCTTCGGAAATGACGGATCTCAGTGAGCTCGATTACTTTCGTCCTCATGCACGAGTCGTGTGGTACAGTCCACTGGATTTTTCTACTCTGCGTGCGGACAGGAATCCAAATCGCTCGAGCACTTCGCGTATATACTGAGTTTGTCGTTTAGTTAAGCTCGCATCACTATGGATGATTTCAATACCAAGATGCTGAGAAGCACACCCGTGATCCTTGATTCCGTACTGGATTGCCAGCAACTAAATAATTTGTTCTTTTGCCTTTCGAATTGCTTGTCAAGAGACAAATCGACGTAAATCAACGCCAGACACACCACTCCGTTCTTGCTGCCGTACGTATAAACACGGCTCTGTGCGTCCATGTCAAAACGACGCACTGAAGAAAGCTGTCAAATCGTTTCTGAGTTACACTCTCAACCAATGCCGCAATCATGGTCTTAAATTTTAAATGTGAAAGCAATGCCGTTCTCCTTTGAAATGTACTTACATATGCATGTACTAGTACTGTAGAATTTGTAGGTCATGAAGTAGTACAAGCGGCTATGTGAATACATCACAGCTGTAGATCTCCATCCTAATAAGGCTGGACAATGCCACAAATTACCAAAATGACGCCATAGAAGCGACCGGTGCGAAGGTTTATATAAAACCAACACCTTCGCGCTGCTTGTCACCGCGAGCAACTAATTGTGCTTTTAAGCGAATCACTTCTCCTTGCTCATTTGCTTTTACTGCATCAACCCACATCGTCGTCAACATGTTTGTCGCAGGTGGCACATCCTTTAGCGAAATTTCCTCGAGCACTCCTTTCATCTTCAGTGCTTCGAGCTCCTTTAACTCTGCGTCACGCCACTTGCGTGCATGTTCAGATCGTAGTGCTTCCACATGATTTTTCGGGATCTTGACATTACCTTTTGATAGTCCTTTGTATCCGTCACTGCAGGTACTTATTGTTGCACGAACGATATATTCGTTAAAACGCGCTGGCAATCGACGCTGATTCGTACTCCGCAAATTCTCGCGCCTCTTCTTTACTTGCACATCACCAGTGATACTTCCTGTAGACGACAGCTGTGCACGCTTGCGTATCGTAGGCTCCACTTAGACTGCTAGTTCTGCCGTGCTACCAACATTTTCATGTCAATTTCTGCATCATACTCAACCGAGCCTTGTAACCGTCAATTGAGCTGATGTGTGAGCTGGTACAGCTCATACCACCTTGTAAATCCTCCTCGACTTGGCCACTTACGCCAGCGTCATCTTCTTCCATCGAGTCGCCATCAAATTCAGCCATGTTACTGATCCTACAGTCTGAATCACCAGCCCCAAAGTCATCCACATTTCGATGGACAGAGTCAACTGTGCCACGATTACTGACCGGCCGTGTCCAAACACTGTCTTGTTTACCCGCGTCTTGTGCATCGGTTAAGATGTCGTCGTCGTCAATAATGCTATCCGTGGCTTCGATTTCTGCAACATAATCGCCCTCTTCGATACTTGCATTTACATCGCTGTTGGCTTCCGAGAGTGTAGCCGTGGTGGTGTGGCGGTCGCGATAAAGAACGTGCTCATTTACGCAATTGTCTGGTACAAATTTTCGCGTACAATCATCGGGAAAGTAGAGCTTACAACCCAACACATCGGCCGCGTATCCAAAAACATATCCGATCTTGGCGTGACGATTAACTTGCGACGCCATGCGTCGGCTCCAACATGAGCATACGCCAGAGATCCAAACGTGCGAAGATGATAAATGTCTGGCAGCATGCTTAACATCTTTTCGTAAGGTCTGCTTTTTACATCCTCGATTAAATTTCCGGTTCTTGATATAAATCGAGAATTGAAATGCATCGGTCCAAAAAAAAATCCGAGGCATTCCTGAACGCTTCAACATTGCACGCGTCATCTCCACCAGCGTTCTGTGCACACGTTCGCAGGGGTTTTGCTGCGAGCTGGAACGTCAAACCTGTACATGCTCGATGCCTCAAATTTTCAACCACAGTGTAAACTCGGTACTATCAAATTCTCCACCTTTATCCGTCAGCAACTGGCGAACAGGATTTGCAATTTGCGCTCCGTCACTTTCTTCGGTTGCATGGCGACGAGCTTATCGACCAACCCAAGCAATGTATTGTTTCAGCGCTGCTGATACTGCATTTGCTGCTTTTGTTCGCAGCATGTAAGTTGCAACGAATTTGCAGTAAGCCTATATGATCACCAAAACTGCACCTATCTGAGTGTCGCTAATTACGCCTGGCACCAACATAGTTGTATATACAAGCTCATTTGGATCCACAATGCGTCGGTCCAGCTTTTATAACGTCTTCCGTACTTGCTTTGCCAAGTGACACGTCTCGCAATCTCTTGCGTCATGTCCGGATAGCATCATTCCGTCAACAAGCTTTCGGTCTACCATCAACTTGATGTAATGAGGGCATATGTGGCCTAAACGCTTGTGCCATAATTGCAGATCTCCAACACCATCTCGAGCCGTAAGTTTATAACGCGCGTTTCTGGATGTGGCTTGTTCATAGTTGTATATACAAGCTCATTTGGATCCACAATGCGTCGGTCAAGCTTTTATAACGTCTTCCGTACTTGCTTTGCCAAGTGACACGTCTCGCAATCTCTTGCGTCATGTCCGGATAGCATCATTCCGTCAACAAGCTTTCGGTCTACCATCAACTTGATGTAATGAGGGCATATGTGGCCTAAACGCTTGTGCCATAATTGCAGATCTCCAACACCATCTCGAGCCGTAAGTTTATAACGCGCGTTTCTGGATGTGGCTTGTTCAGTATACCTAATGCAACTTGTCCCTCGAATACTCATACTGCTCCGACTTTGTCGCGGCTAGTGCCACCGTTTCACCACTTTTCTGTAAGGTAATCGGTGCGCATTGGAGTCCCATTCAAATTTAAATCCATCGTCAAGCGCACGCCCCATCGATAACAGCATATTTCTTGCGCCAGGAACGAGTAGTACGTCGTCAATAACCGTAAGTACTTTCTTTCCAGCAACAGACGATTCAAGTGAGATCGCTCCAACTCCGACTGGTTGTTCCTGAAATCTGGGTGCAACTCCACGCACGGTTGCTTCATGGCGAGAGTGCTCCCGATATCGAATAAAGTACCGCTTGTCTCCTATCACATGTGCATTGGATGCAGTGTCAATATACCACTCCTGAATCCAAATATTATCGGCAAGTGGGTCATTGTCTTGTTGAGCTTCTTCCACGTGATTTAATTCCAGGGTCCCTTCGTCTTGATCTTCTCCAAATACCTTAAGCACATCACAGTGCGTGAGGTTCGTTGCCATGTTCCGTTTGCCTTCACGACGAGCGACACCTTTTGCTGCGACGATATTTGCACCTTCGCCGTGTTTTTCACGATCTGGACAATCCCTCTTAAGGTGCTCACTACTGCCGCACGTGTAACACCTCTTCTTGTAGTCCTTCGCCTTGAAGGTTCCTTTGTAGCGATATACATTTGCATTGGATCCTTTTCTGTCCATGATCTGTCGGGCTTTTTTGTCGCGCTGACGCTCCACGTCTTTACGCCTCCCGCACATGAGGGCACCAATACCAAAACCGCTTGTTGTCTCCTCATGAAGAGCGGCGGCTGTGCGAATAACGCGAATTTTCTCTGGACTGTATGCTGCTGAGTCACTTGCAAACCGCACAGTCTGTCGTAGTTGGTTGAAATGCGTCGTTGTAGGTAGACTTGCCAGCAAAGGTTCTCGCATATCGAGTTCATCGACGATATACTGGAGATCCGCTAATTCCGTGCGGTGGTTAAACATGCGCGTCAGGTGCGCGATCACGTTCCCATCTTCCTCCAGATTTGCGTTCCAAAGCTCATGACCTAGCTGCCGGACACGGTGTCCTCGAACAATGGGGTCCGACTTGTCTTCATAGATAGCCACCAAGGGTTTCCACAGTTCTGGTGCTGTCTTGTGTTCACGCACCTGATGCAACTGGTCACATGACAAACTTGTGAAGATGTAGCGCTTTGCCCTGAGCTGGAATTAATCATAAGCTTCTTGGCCTTCTGCCGTCATAAGCTTTGTTTTATCGTGCCGCTCATCTATCATATCACTCATCTTCTCCTCCTCAAAGACGTTTCGCGTGATTAGCTTGTAAAACTACCAATCACACCCATCCCACTCGATCGGAATTTCTTCGCTCGTGTACTTGTGCTTTACCTTTTACTTCGATGAATTTCCCGTGTACTTTGGGCTCATAACCCAGTTAAATTGATTGAAGGAAGGAACTGAAAGCAGATGTGAGCCCTTGAGTGTGTTTCACAACTGAACTATGATTATACAAACACGATGCACCTTGGCTACTCCTGTTGGTTCATCACTATCTACTTCCTACAACAAGAACAATCGACACTATCGTCACACAGGCCCTGTCGTCTTCCAACTGTCGGTTTGGCCCCGTCGCCGTTTACCCAATATTCCAACGGTCGTCTTGGCTCATGCAACCAACTGTCGTCTTCAACATCCAACTTGCAACTCGAAGTTCAACATTGTGTCTATACCTAGCATGGCACTGACTTTTACCGTTGTCAGTGGGAAATAACTCCGTGCGGGTTGACCAGTACGCTGTCGTCGGTGCCCCGTTACAGGCCTTGTCTCTTTTGTACAGCTCTTTTTCTACAACTATCTGACGTTCGGTAGCCTGGACCATGACTGATGTGTCGTATATTATCGACTGTGTGCGATACGCCACTGAAGTTTCGTAAGCGGGTTTCTGTGTCCGACAGTGTATTCAGCATCGGCGGTTAAGCCATATCTGTAAACTTGTCAGTGTTTCATCGGCGGTCAAGCTATATCTGTAAACTTGTCAGTGTTTCAATTACCCGATGGACGCCAGTGAAGACCGCGAGAAAGCGATGAGTTCGTCTACTAACAAGGTTGTTCAAGAATATTGGTACAGCATCTGCCCTCAAATCTTGCAATAAATTCAGCTGGTAGGCTGAGGCTTCGTGCCTATCTTGATCTCAACACCAATTGTCCAGCGTCAGTGCTTTCAATCGGTGCTTATCCAGCATTGACTCGTGACTCGTTCGTCGCTTTGCTCCACGACAAGTTGCACAAGCTCCTCGCTTCTTGTCGAAATCGTGTACATCGTCTGCAAGACCATGATCCTCAACAAGCGCGACACCCTTGAAGTCGTCGAGACCGAGTCGGGCATGCCACTTCGCCTCCGTACCGTTCAAATGTGCTGCAATGCTCGCGATCGCATAGTCCGCATCACGCTTGTCAAGGTAGCAAAGACTATTGCCCCAGGTCGTGCAGCCATCCATAAGCGTGCAGCTCTTCCTGATCAGTTTCCACAGCGATCACACCTTGCGTTGCATTCTAATCGTGATTATCTTCTTCACAAATTGCCCTATGGATAACGGGTTCGTGACCTAAAGTGAAGCCCTCTTGTCTCAAGCTGTCAGCGCAAACAATAGCAACGTTAAACTTACCTGATTTGTGAAGCCGATAAACTCGAGCGCAGGTAACATGTCACGAACTGCTGCTGTGCGTCAGCAGTCTACAGTGACCAAGCACGTTACGACAACGGCATGACTGTCCAGGGACCGTTCAACGACGGATCTTGACTGGATCTTACTAGCTCATTCGCCTGCGAACATCACTGAATATAATCTCGTACCGACGGTGTGGTTTGCCTGGAATACACCGAAACGCATCAATTCGGTCACAACATATAAGACCGACGCCAACTTACCAACTTCATAAGCCACACCCACGTTGTATGCCGCTTCGACAAGTAGTCTCAGGTAGAGTTCGAACCCGGGCTGGATCGGCATCGTCCTTCAATTCATCCAACTTGCCACAAGCGCAAAGCATCACAACCCAGCGCCAGATATTATATGGCAGCAAAAACACTAGATGCTGACAGGTAAGCTCGCTCAAATTCCATCTCATTTTCACATCTCAAATGCTCGCACGTATGTCTGCGTGTTGACTCGTGGAGCTCACTCTTGATCCTGCGCTACCCGTCCTCTCAAAAGCAGGCCAATCGCCATGCTGCCATCAAATGGCCCACTCGCTACCTTCGTTTGCGTCATCCTCCGGCGTAATGAAAGGTGCGTGAATGGATTTGATCATAACCTCACCACAGAAAATACACTCGGATGCAATGATCTCGTCTAGCTTTTGCTGCACCATCTCACGCTCCTGAGCAATGGACTGCTCTTTCGCACCACTTTTTGCCTTTGCGGTTGTCGCGGCGCTGCTTCCCTCGGAACCGGGCGTCATCGCTTCCTTCTCGGTCGACGACAAGTTGAGAAAAGGGAAGGCTGACAGCGGTCGCTGGAAAAAGTTCGTGCTCGCCGGCATTTCAGTGGAAAGCTCATTGAGTTTCTGAACAAGCTGCTTTACCGTTTGTCGCTAAAAGCTATTCAGATGCTTTTGCATCTCTTGAGGGAGTGCACCAGCATGAAAAGCGTGGGAGCACGGGAAAAGGTAGAATTCCTTACCCAAAATATTTTGGCCCGTAAGCTCACAGCGCTGGTTGCCAGAAACGACAGCACAACGTTTGCGCAGCTTCTGCATGTCAGCACGGATCAGCTCGGCCGACTGTGTATAGTCCTGCATCTCTTCCTTCAGCTGTTCAATACGGTCATTGTAGACCTCAAGCGATTCGCAAATCTCCTTCTTAAAGTCGTTAATCAGGACAAAGTCAGGGAAGAAAGGCAGGATGTCCTTGATCTCACCTCCAGCGTCGATCGTATGTTTGGCAATCAGCGTCCACAGTTTCTTGCGAGTCTCATCATCCTCGAGCATGCCAGCCATTTCCTTGGCAATTTTCACATCGACTTGCAGTGCCTTTTCCACTATTTTTGCCAATATTCGCTTCGGCAGAGTGTACCCACCCACCCACTCCACGCACGCACCGCCGACATGTCGTGATGGTGCGTGCGTGGAGTGGGTGGGTGGGTACACTCTGCCGAAGCGAATATTGGCGAATGAGCTGTCAAAAGCCCTAGAGACGTATTTCGATTGGACAAAACGGATGTCCCGAGGACGACTTCGGACTTTGGAACCTCGCCCTGCCAGGCTGAGTGGGATCCGCACGTCTTCCTTGTTATCAGAAAGGCACTACTGAGTGTCGAGACTGTGCTGTCTGTAGGCACAAAATACCTGGATGTAGTAGTAAGTAATCATCAGACAGCTGAGAGTCGCGTGTGAGCTCTCTGTGCTGTGCAGTGCAGACAGAGTGCACAAAAATCCGCTGCAGCAGCCTTTAGTCGATTTGCAGACATCCTCTTGACTGGATTATCTACGTCGCCACAATCAGATCCGTCGCGACGCCTGCGCAACGCCCCTGCTTGCAAATGTCTTTCTCGTTAGACAGTCCGTCTACGTGCGATATACCGAAGCAAGGCAGAGAAGAAGAGACGCGAATGCCATGACTTTCATTTGTCCACGAAACTGCGATTCGACTCGCTGGACGTCAACATGTACGTGCCAGTCATCCAGAAAATGCATTAGCTGTATGCATCACTGCGTACGCAGATCTCTGATGCGTGAGTGCCACGAGGAGTCTTTCTACCTTTTCTCCTGCGTCGATGACTCAATTTGTCAGTGACACGCACGTCCGTTCTCCGAACTCACTGCAACAAACCAAACGAACCTGACAGCGCAGGAAAGTGCAGCTATTGCAGAATGCAAACGTACCTCGCATGCTGCAATCATCAGGCACGTGACTTGGGTCGAGTGGACTCATCAACCGACATTAATTGGTAGGAAGGTTTTGCTGCATCCATGTCACGACTACTAACGTGTACAAACAGTACAGCAGCCAGAAAATCAAAGCCCGGTGGTAGATGTGACCAGACTGGAATCCGCTGTAGATATGTACAACGTACCCTCAAAAGAAAGTCCTGTCGAGGCTACAGATCGGAGACACACTTTGTGGGTGAGGATAGACTTTTCGGATCGAAGCTAGGTATGTCAGCGTAAGGACCATTGCTGCAGAAAGCTACTCCTAGCGCATCTTCGACAACAATCGAGCAACCTTGGCGATTGAGAACTGGGACGACTAATTCCCTAACGCAGGCGATACGAGTTGAGCCAACGAAACGACGCAAAAAGGTGAACCAACACATGCAAGAACGACAAAATGTATTTCGATTCTCCATAAATTGCAGTGCTTCTGTGTCGAGTTCGGCACCTCCATGTCAGTCGCATCTACTGACGCTGGCCATAATTGCATCTCCTTCTGGTTCAGCTGGCCTCTCTGCAAGAGTGCAAAGCGGCGGGTTCGGACGGCGGTCCAGCTGGTTGCAAGCGCGACGAATCGTTGCCGTATGGTTGTAGCCTTTTATCATCAGGTCATTCACGACATTGTTTTGCAAGATTTGGTACAAGGGTGTCCGAAACAGTAAACAAGGTAGGTGTTATACTGACCAGGAGCAGTAGCTTCCTCGCCAGTAGTAAACAAGTTATCGAGTCGCGAAGGTTACGGCCGTACACCGATGAACCGAAGGAGGAAATGCTACAGATTCCATTGCACGAAATCGAGATTTGCTTCACTGATATCATGAGCGAGGAAATCAGGGACGCAAACGCAGAGCGTGTATGGCAGGATACGGCTCGAATCAATGTACACAGCTCGAAATGAAGCTCGCAGTGACTTGTTGTTGTGCGTCTTCCACTGATAGACATGGAAGTCTGCTGCTGAGACTAGAGAGCGACGGCCAATCGAGGTAGATCATTCAGTCGTAACGTATGCATACCAGATTCATGCAGGTCATTCAGTTGTTCATCGCATCTCAGTCGGCACGCCGAAATTCAGGGGAACGAAGCAATGAGAAATTGATCAATCCGTACAACGACGATTACAGCTGTGTTAGATCCAAGCGATAGGTTTGCTTCCACCGCTAAGACGAAAACGCTGAAAGAGTGCACGCGACGCGGGTCTCTTGGCACCGAGACTGTAGACGGGTGAGCGAAAGCACGCGCTTGTCGAGTCTTGCGCGAGTTTTGAGTGGAAAGGTCATTCATTTTGCAGTTCAATGTGTGCTGATTTTGACCATCACTTGTGTCCCGCGCTGCAAAGTTTGCCCTTGTACGTATCAACACCTGATGCAAAAAAGCTTGGTACTAATCCGCTTGGATCCGCAGGCCGCAAGCTGTCCCTTCTTCGACCCTCTCTCAATGTCTAAACGGCGTCGTCAACAGGTGTAAGCTGAGCTGAACACGCACGCACGCCGCCTGTCTCCTTCGGTAGACCTCGCCACACCATCGAGACCTCGCATGTCTCGCGTGGTCACAGACTTTCGATCAGAAGGTTCACGTAACCTGCAGGCATGCTTGATTTTTGCATCAGAGCATGGCCACGTTACAATCGCAAGGATCGAGGGTGAGCCGCCTTAGGTGACGCCACATCGACAAGAATCAGTTACCTGATTTGAGAGGTCCGATTGTTTTGATGCATGATCTCAGCTATGTGCGAGGTCTCTGGACTAACGTGAGTTAACGCCGGGTCACCCTGGGGCTGATCGTGACTGGCTACAGTAGAAACGGTAACCCTCTAGATCCTTCTCGCTCCAAACGCACCCGATGCACGCATAAAGCATAACGTCCTCGATTGTCGATTCTATTGTTCGATGCTCTCTTTACGCTATCGCCCCGAGCTGGCATGTGCAAATCAGTGTTTTGCCGGGTTGTGACCCGATACCTTCTCCGGGTTTGACAGGATGTGAGGCTGTCACGATGGTCGCCTCGTGGTTGTCTGGGCGCAGCGCTTTGCCGTACATCGGCTCTAGCGTTTCCGTCAAGCTGATTTGCGAAAGTCATGAGTGGTCGGGTGAAGACTTTTCGTGATATCGGAAGGCGTGCTTTTCTGAGTGCTTTGCAAAGGAGCGACGTGAGGTTACGGCCTAGCCTAGCAATAGGAAGCTGTGAATCAGAGGGTGCACCACGAAGACGAGACCATATTTCTAAAGATTGTGACCTATCGTTCGCCGTTTTCTGTGAGAACAGACGTTGAGCTCTGGTGCTGATCCGTTCCAAATCAGTGCAATCCACCATCGCCTAGGTGCAGAGTCACGAGCTGTATCGAGTCCTGCGCGCTTCCTGTTGGTCGGCCTTCAATGAGGTCCCTTGCCCTGTTTCGACTGTGCTGGCTCTAACCAGAATCAGGAGGAAAGTCGCGCTGAAAGCCATTCGAAAGACGTATGCAAGAGTCGACAAAAGGATTGGAGAGCTTACGGTCAAGGCTCTTTCAGATGCCGTCGGATAGCTGTGCGAGTGAAGCTTCTTGGTCACTTCGAAATTTGATCCCTCACCCTCGTGGAAGATCACGACAACAACTGAAGATGCGTCTCATCACTTTCACGCTCATGGCTTCAACACCCGTGATTGTAACGGGGTGAATCGTTACATAACAATTTATAAGAAATTGTTAATAGAATATAACTATAAGAGTTATATTCTCAGAATATTGTCATAAGGACAATATTCTGTAGCACTTCCAAGTAGTTCCTAATTGGTTGATATAGGCCATTATATCAACCAACGAAGACGCGCCACGACAGACGCACGCAATGAGTGGTGAGCAGATAACTGATTTACACATTTGTATTTAGACATAGTTAGATGAAGATAAATAGTGATTTATTGCAGACATTAACTATTATAAATACAGTTCTACTTTTTACTCTGACCAAGTACTCGCTTCTTCTTACCGTCTTCCTCTGCACGTACGAGTGTACGTGAAGTTACGAGGCACCGCCTTATTCTGTTATCAGAATAAGTAGCTTGTACTGTCACCAGTACAAGCTTCAGGGTGCCCAGTTATACCTGGTAGCACTTCGTAGTCCGTCCAAGGACCGCGTTCACATCCAACATGAATATGTTGGATGATGAAGATGACCAAAGCTTTCACGCTACGCGTGACGGCTACTCCCATTTGAGCGATGTCGAATGGGATGCGGTTGAACGAATGGGTTCGACCATGGGCATCCATGCTGTTAGCGTCATGCTAGAGGCTCTCAATAGAGATGCCCAACATGCTACTATCGCCAAGTTCATTCAAAATGAACTTGACGCAGAACGCGAGAAAGTAGCCTTGCTTCACCAACAAGGTTCTCAACAAGCAGAGTTGTTGAGAGAACAAGGTGCTCAACAGTTTGAACTGTTGAGACAGCAGCAGGCTGCTGCTGGCGGGTCGATGCACTCGCGTCGGCCCGAGACTTTGAAGATTGACATCTCAAAGTATAGGGGAGTCGAAGAAGACTCCCTCTTGAGATGGTTCGTCGAATTGGATGACGCCATAAGGGCGCGTCGCATCGACGACGGGGATATGCAAGTTGCATTTGCCCAGTCAAATCTGGCAGGACGTGCCAAGACTTGGGCACTGGGGCTCAAGCTGCACGACCCATACGCGTTTGGGTCGTTGGAAGTCTTCAAGTCGCGGCTCAGACAAACGTTTGAACCGCCTAGAGCTGAGTTCAGAGCTCGAACCGAGCTCTTGAAGCTCAAGCAGGGTAAGCGTGATGTGCACGCTTACGCTCAACATATACGACATCTCACGAGTTGTATAAGTTCCAATCCGGTGGATGAACACACGTTGGTTTCGGTGTTCATGCAGGGTCTTGCGGATGGTCCCGTCAAGACTCACCTGTTCCGGCTTGAACTAGATTCACTAGAACAAGCCATTTCAATTGCGGAGCAGGAAGACTTCAGTCTGAGACAGGCTCGCGCCAGCTCGACATCATATCGTCAACCGAGACGATATGACAACGGAGGTCCAGAGCCAATGGAACTCTGTTATGTAGAGAGCGAGA